CACGATATTTGCAGTTCTTTATTGTATACGAAATACAATACAAATAGATATTCTCTCCTTTTATATACAGTTTGTATTATGTTATATAACTTAATAGGATTTCAATTACGAGTCAATTCTGCAAATGATATAAAAGTAGAGGCTTTTTATGAAGCAATGAATTGAGAGCACAATTATTGTTGTCTTTTGAATTGGGAATCAAAAACAAACACAAGAGTTGACAAAAATCGTGAATACAATGAGTGGCGAAATACTGGGAGAATATACTCAACAGTCAGTCATATCTTATTAAGTGTTCTCAAGTCATATCATCTTTATATTGACATAAGAGAGAGAGAGAGAGAGAGGGAGAGAGAGAGAGAGTTGTTTCAAGTGGTAAATCAATGGAAAAAAAACTTATGAAAAAAGTTTCCCTCACTTTTTAAACAGAAGTAGTTCTCATCATTTAAAATACAAAACAGAGAGAAAAAGTAATGTAAAACACGGGTGAAGTAATGTGTACGACCAGCCATTGTGTAAAGTACTCGTTTTGCATCACTGGCATAGCGTTACACTTATTTCAATCTATATTTTATTATTATTGTTATTATCATTAATTTTTTACTAAAAGTTTTTTTTCGATATTTTGCTATTGAATTGTGAAGAATAAGTAGTGAACAGAACATAGAGTTTTTGAATAAAAGAAAGTGCATCAGAGAGTACGAGTGAGTGAGTGAATGTGTGTGTGTGTGTGTGTGTGTGTGTGTGTGTGAGAGAGAGAGAGAGAGTTACCAGAAAACAAATACACATTGATTTCTATCCCTATTGAAGTGTTATTTATATTCAAATTGAAAGATATCTGCATTTTTCTCACTCCCAATCCCCTGAATGCGATTCAAACGCTAATTAATTTAAAGTAAATTTGTTTTTCTCTAGTTTTTAAGGTTTAATTATTTTTCTGCATTTTTTATATTATTATAGATGTGTTTCTATTCATCAACTTTTCGGATGACTTTTTTCTTGACTTAATTAACTTTTTCTTAGATAAATATTTATCATATAATTAATCAATTGCTGTGCTAATTGAGTTTTAAAAGAAATAATATATGTTGGCATATATTTCCACATAAATTGTGGATGATTTGTTTAGGTATGTACTCACAGAATATTCTGTTTAAAGTTTCGTTTGCAATTAATTAGCAAACTGTTGACTAACATAGAGTTGCTTTAATTTAATAAATTTAATCCAATATTCAGTAAGCAAGCAAAATATTACATGATTTTTCATTTTTATATTAAAATCGATTGATTTTATGAAACATAAAGCGCTGATAAGAATGAGAAGATTATTGAAGTGATTGCGAAAAACCGGTATTTCCTGCAAACAATGACTTAAATAACTATATTTATATTCAAATTGAAAGATATCTGCATTTTTCTCACTCCCAATCCCCTGAATGCGATTCAAACGCTAATTAATTTAAAGTAAATTTGTTTTTCTCTAGTTTTTAAGGTTTAATTATTTTTCTGTATTTTTTATATTATTATTAGATGTGTTTCTATTCATCAACTCTTCGGATGACTTTTTTCTTGACTTAATTAACTTTTTCTTAGATAAATATTTATCATATAATTAATCAATTGCTGTGCTAATTGAGTTTTAAAAGAAATCATATATGTTGGCATATATTTCCACATAAATTGTGGATGATTTGTTTAGGTATTAGCATGTACTCACAGAATATTCTGTTTAAAGTTTTGTTTGCAATTAATTAGCAAACTGTTGACTAACATAGAGTTGCTTTAATTTAATAAATTTAATCCAATTTTCAGTAAGCAAGCAAAATATAATTTTAGAAAATTTCATGATTTTTCATTTTTATATTAAAATCGATTGATTTTATGAAACATAAAGCGCTGATAAGAATGAGAAGATTATTGAAGTGATTGCGAAAAACCGGTATTTCCTGCAAACAATGACTTAAATAACTAATAATAATAATAAGAATTGAGAAAAAATCGAGAATCCATTGAAGTGTCGAATACAATGGTTTGGAAAAGAGAGAAAATAAATATAAAACAAGTCTTAACTCACAGACAATGTATGGTCAATGGGATCGGCAATTGTAGGGGCGTTGCACTCAAACAAAGTGTTGGGTATCTGTTCGGTACCGATCTCTCTCTCTCTCTCTCTCTCTCTCTCTCTCTCACACACACA